GCGTTCCAATGAGTCTTCCTACCAATATGACCATGTTGCGAAAACAAGGTCAAACAACCTCTAAAAAAAGTTTGTATAAATTTGCAGTGACACAAAGAGTCTACGATGTAGTTGGCGAATGGAGAAGTGAACATCCTTCTATCTTCCACGATCCGGCCTATAAAGAGTGTAAATTACGGTCACCGGTGGTAACCGTCCATGGCAGCAGTCTAAAGGAAGTGTTTAGTTGGTTTGACGCTAGAGAAGCATTAAGTCGAGCCGTTTGATTGAAAAGCCAGAACTAGCCAGTCAATGAACGGATCCCCATGACTTCATGTGCTAATCGACGCTAGCAAATGTCAATCACGTGTAAATGACGCTAATTGATTGGGCAAGAGTAGACGAGTTGTTAACCACCCCGAGCAAAAAAATGCTAGAAATCGCGGTAAACCATCAGGCTCCCCCCGAAAGGGACCGAGAAAATGCATCTCCTACCATTTGATGTAAATGGTACATTCTAAATGGGACAAAAGAGGTTAAAGATGCCTGCCTCGAAGGTGCATTGGAAGGGCTTCTCGCCAGTGTGCACAAGCTGATGCCGTTTCAGCTTGCTCGACTCCACAAACGCCTTGCCACATTCCGCGCAGATATGCACCCTGGGACCATGCGTGTGCAGGTGTTTTCGCATAGCCGCTGTGTCTCGAAACGCCTTTCCACAGCCCAACTGTGGGCAGGCGACACTGCGCAACAGACCGCCACCTCCGCCTCCGTTGCCCCCAGTCCCGGGCACACCACAACCGCCGCCAGAAGGTCCGTTGCCACCGTTTCCCACGGAGATTGCGCCACCGGCCGACGAGCCGGCACCGGCTGACGCGGCGAGCACATGCCCAACAAGGCCCATCAGACTGAGGCCCGAGTGGCCGGAATTCACGCCGCCAGACCCGGAGACAGCCGAGTCGGCCAACGATGAGGCCACTCTCATGTGAGGATGATGATGAGCGTGAGGATGATGATGATGCGAGCCGGCGTGGGCCTGTCCGGATGGCCCGAGGTGAGTGGAGGTGTGATGAAGATTGAGCTGTTGATGTGGAGACAGAGGCGACAGCGGTGAAGCGTGTCGGCCAGAATCTGGACTGGTCGTGACCGCCAGATAGATACCGGCGGGGCTAAATGAACAAAAAAGATACAAATTTGCCAATATGCATTGCACGGGTCTACTCGAAACGGGTTAACAAGTGCCTAAGGGGTTGAAAATGTTGAAAATGAGGGTTAAGATAGAAAAGTAAAACACTCAATACAAAGGACTACATTTGCACACGTGCAGAAGCAGGGATTGTAAGGGAAACCTCTGACACCACTCGTTACAAACAAGTGAACCTGATGATGCGTTAGTTACCAAAGGATAGAATGAATTGTATGGCTTTCTGAGGCTATTTAATTAAGCAAGACAAAGAATGCTTCAAATGAAGTACGAGAGTACAATTCTAGATCGGCTCATATAAGTTGACGTACTAAGGCGAGTACTATTGAGTGATAATTTGGTTTATTAAAATTCAATCCACTAAAATGGCGCATAAAGAATAAAAATAGATAAAAAGCAAATTGAATTTTTTTAAATACCTAATAAACAGGTTGGTCGTATATAGGAAATTTTACCATTGTAGGACGACTGAGTGCATTTTTTCGCAATAAAATGAGCATACATTGTGTGCAAACTAGCAACAAGTTTACACTCCGAAAAAGAAGCAAGTGTGTCAGTGGATCACAAAACAGATATACATTTCCCAATTCACGCTTTTAATGAGATTATCGAAAAGGTAAACGTGTATATATCTTAAAAATCAACGTGACTAGATACACATGTTTAGAGAGTAAGGATAGATTTTGAACAAGAACTGTAATCATGTTAGAATAGGTAGTTTAATAACAGCTACTCATTCCATTGTGGGAAAATTCACCCAACAGCTCATTTCATGCAGACGAAAATGATTGAGGATCTTATTCAGGGCCTCTTGATCGTCTCAAAACACGGTAATCACGAATATAACCAGCATCGTCTATTGGAATGGCAAAAGCCAGTTTGCTCAGTCAACATCAATCACACTATGAAAGGGTGAATGTTTAGAAAATCACAACTATCCCGTGACCCAATTGCACATGTGATGGTGTGACGCAATGCTAACTTAGTGCCACTTTTGGCGCACGAACTGGTCTCAGATCGCCCGGAGGGTGTTGATCATGATAAACGAGCAATGTCGAACGCTCAGACCATCCCGAATGAAAAACTCATTTGGAGATAAGGCAAAGTGAAGTTCGAGGGGCAGAATAGGGACGTGGAAAAATGAACAATCAGTTCTACATCGTATAACGCGAATTGAGACAACTAAATTTATTTGCTTCTTATAACGGTATTATTTTTTTCGATCAGATAGATCTATGTTTACAGATAATTTTATTACAGAATGATAAAAACAATAAGATATCAGGAGAACCCTAACTTGAGCAAATTCACCCACTGATCTGTCTAAATATTTTAAAAGTAGGCTAGAATGAAGGAATGTCTAACATTATGGAACGTAGGCGATAGTAGATCTTAAGCGAATACAAGTTGAGTTGGTCTGTAAATAATAAGCTTACTA